CCATGCTCCCAACTTTTGCCTGGAAATCTTGTCTGCTTCCAATTTCCAGGAGGATCTATATATGTTTTTCTTTGGGTTCACCTTATTACCTAACTTCTCTAGGATCACAAAATATAGGCTCAATGCCCTTTGTTTATGGCTAGAGTCCACTAATGAGTGAGTATATAGCATAATCATATTTTGGGGTCTGGATTATCTCACTCAGGATAGTGTTTTCTATTTCCATCCATTTGAATGCAAAATTCAAAATGTCATTGTTTTTAACCACTAGTACATTAGTAGTACTCTAATGTGTAGATTTGCCATACTTTGTTTTATCCATTCTTCTATTGAGGGACATCTAGGTTGTTTCCAGGATCTGGCTATTACAAATAATGCTGCTATGAACATAGTTGAACAAATGCTTTTGTAGTATGATTGGACATCTCTTGTGTATATTCCCAGGAAGTCCAAATGGATTAAGGACCTCAATATAAATCCAATCACACTGAGCCTGATAGAAGAGAAAGTGGGAAGTAGCCTGCAATACATGGGTGCAGGAGACCACTTCCTACATATAACCCCAGTAGCACAGACAATAAGAGCAACAACGAATAAATGGGACCTCCTGAAACTGAGAAACTTCTGTAAAGCAAAGGACACAGTCATTAAGACAAAAAGGCAACCTACTGAATGGGAAAAGATCTTCACCAACCCCACATCAGACAAAGGTCTGATCTCCAAAATATATAAAGAACTCAAGAAACTAGACATTAAAACTCTAAATAACCCAATTAAAAAATGGGGTACTGAACTGAACAGAGACTTCTCAACAGAAGAATTTCAAATGGCCAAAAGATACTTAAGGACACATTCAACTTCCTTAGCTATCAGGGAAATGAAAATCAAAACAGCTTTGAGATACCATCTTACACTTGTCAGAATAGCTAAAATCAAGAACACCAGTGATAACCTATGCTGGAGAGGATGTGGAGTAAGGGGAATACTCATCAATTGCTGGTGGGAATGCAAACTTGTACAACCACTTTGGAAATCAGTGTGGTGGTTTCTCAGAAAATTGGAGTCAACTTTCCACAACTTCTTTAAGGGAATTTTTCACTTCCTCCCTAAGAGCCTCTATCATCTCCATAAAGTAATTTTTAACTTCATTTCTTTGTGTTTCAGCTGCATTGGAATATTCAGGTTTTGCCATTGTAGGATCACTGGTTTCTAGTGGTGCCAAACTGCTCTTTTGGCTGTTGAATGTGTTCTTATCCCAGAATTTAGTCATCTGTTCTTCCAACCAGTGTGGTTTGTGCCTGTTCTTCCAACTTTTGTGATTTGCACCTCTTCCTATGTAGTCTGCTGTTCTTCCAACTGCTGTGGTTTGTACCTCTTCCTATGTAGTCTGCTGTTTTTCCAACTTTTGTGGTTTGCACCTGTGCCTATGTAGTATGTTGGAGTTGTGGGGAGGGCTTGCCACAGTAAGAATGTTCAGGTGTTTGGGGTTGGGCTGTGGAGTGGGTCTTGGTTGGACAGCATCCAATGTGGGGGGGGCACAGCCCTGAACTAGATATCTCTCATGCTTGCAGGCTGGTGGGGACTGCACCAGAGCAGTGGGATTCCACAAGAGGTGGGGACAGGGTCCAGTTGTCTTGCTAGTGCTGGGATGGGAAGTGGAAGGGTTAATTTTGTTCTTTAGCATGGGGATATCATACTTTTCCAGCAGCATTTTTTGAGTATGCTTTTTGTCTTTTTCCTCTATTGTAGTAAAAGACAATGAACAAAATGACATACAACTGGTTAAGCAACAAAGATTAAGAGGCTGTAGAATGTTTACCTCTAAATGGGACATCTATAACCTATGCCTCCCGCCAAAGACCCAGAGATCTTGAAAGGAGAGGGGCTGTGACAACCATAAATCCAGAGGCTGTTTGTGAGAATTATAAGGGAATGATGTTTGCTGCACAACATAGGCAGTTATATCTAAGAATCCACATTAGTTGTGATAGTAAGCTTTCTTTTCGTTGGTACATGTTTCAAAAACCCTTCCCACATCTATGTGGGTTCATTTCTGTGTACTCTGTTTTATTTATATTAGTTACCTTTTTATTACTGTGATAAACAGGATGCCCAATTCAACCTGGAGAAAGAAGATTTTATTTGTCATATAGTTCCAGATAGTTTAATATTCCATGAAGGCAGCAAGTTAGAGGCATTGTGTCAGGAACAGAAGCAGAGTGCTCACATCCTGAACCAGGAATGCTCACAGCCAAAAGCAGTAAGCAGGGGGAGCAAATTGGGAATGGCACAAGTCCTTAAAAGTCTTTTAAAGAACTTCCTCTCAATGATATGCTTCCTCTGACAAGATCATACTCTTAAGTCTTCACAAAAATCCATCACTAACTTGGAATGAAATGTTCAGATGACAAAGCCTGCAGGGACATTCTTATTTAACCTACAATTTTTCATTGCTTATATGTATATTTTATGCCAATACAATGCTGTATTTTTATTGTGGCATTATAGTATAGTTTTGGATAATCTATTATGATACCAATTGCAGTGTTCTCTCTGTTTAGAATGTTTTTTCCTATGTGACTCTTTGTGTTTTCATATGCATTTTGAAATTTTTCTATGTCTGTGAGGGATGGCATTGGAATTTTGATGGGAATCACGTTAGAATTTTGACAATATTCACAATATTAATTCTGCCAATTCTGGAACACAGACTGTCTCATTGTCATCTAAATTTTCTTTACTTTCTTTTTTCTTTCTCAATTTTTTGTTCTAAATGTCTTTCCTCTTCTTTGGTTATGACCATTCCTAGGTATTTATTTTTTGTGCCTTTTATGAATGTGATACTTTCCCCAAATTGTTGCTCAATTAAGTTCTTTACTGGTATATATAGAAGCTAGTAAATTTTCCCTTATTTTTTATTCTGTCTCTTAACTGGATATATTTATGAGACATAAAATAAGTTTTCTGATCGTATCTGGGATTCTGTTAAGTGTTGAACCATATCATCTGCAAAGAGGAATGATGTGACTTCTTCATTTCTCTTTTTTCCCTCTATTATTTCTTCTCTCATTGCTATAGCTAGGATTTCAAACAGTGTATTGGATAAGACTATGATATACACAGGACTGTGAGCTAAAATAGAAATGGAATTTGAAGTATAAGGGAATCTTCCTACCTCAAGACTTAACAATAGTACTCTTGGACGTATACCCAAAGGATATTTAACCATACTATAAAGAAATTTGCTCAGCTATGTTCATAGCAGCATTTCTTGTAATAGCCAGAATCTGGGAAAAAAACCTAGATGCACCTCAACCAAAGAATGGATAAAGGAAATGTGGTACATTTACAAAACAGAGTACTACTCAGCAGTAAAAAACAATAACATCTTGAAATTGGCATGCAAATGGATGGAGCTAGAAAAAAAAACATCCTGAGTAAGGTAGCCCTGATCTAGAAAGACAAATACAGATACTTGCTCATAAGTGGATATTAGATGTAAAGCAAAGGATAATGAGCCTATTGTCCGTGACCCCAGAGAAGCT